ACAACAAGATGGCAAACCCCTCAACAATCGATACTTCACCTGAGCGACGCAAATGCCTCTTGACCTATTCCTCAACGTTCCCAAAATGAACTACTGGCTACAACAAGCTCCTTTTCCAACAAATTCTTGCCATGGAGATGACTCTTGCATTCCTGAACACATACATCTTATGGCAACTTTCTTTTCACCCCTGTATTAACCAAATCCCGAACCAAAGTTTTGCATACATAAACCGCAAATCCCTATGACCCATTCTTTTGAAACCATAAATCAAACGTATCATTGATCCTCTAAGCAAAATATCCAGCTCTCCCTCACTTAGGGTTTGAACTACCACCAAGTGATATTGCAAACAGACCAAAACTCAAATCGGCTCACCCAGGTACATATCATCTTTGACCCTTAGAATGTATAAAACAATGCAAGATGATATTCCAGATAAAGACTAAGAAAACACAAAGAGATTCTGAATCTTAGATGGAGACCTCGGAAATTGCCCAATCATGACTGCCTATAACATCAAGAATTCCATGCAGATGCATAAGTAATAATTTTGATAGTCCATTCATAACACCACTTCCTATCTAGAACAAATACTACAACACTCCTCACTTGAAAATCCCCAACCGTCAATTCATCTCGAGGATCATTTATAAATACAAAGGGCATCATTCACATAGTCGGGATACATTAGAGACAACAAAAGTTGTCGCTCTCGGTTCACTTCCCTGATCACCTGAAACCATCAGCTATCACTTGACTTGCCTATATCCAAAGAAATCACACCCTTGATCTCATCTCAAGGAAACCATAGTACAAGAATCCTCTTGTGTATTCCCACATTGCCATACTGCCGCAAAAAAAAACAGCAACCATCAAGCCCCATGTTGGGTCTACATCCCAACTCTGAAAATCACATGTCTAAGTTCTCTCTCTTTCTCTCTCTCTCTCTCTCTCTCTCTCTCTCTCTCTTTCTCTCTCCTTCGAACACAGAAAGATGGAAAAACATAGTCGCGCTGTAGCTAGTGACAATCTAATCCATCTACCAATCACTCATCCTTCGGCTGCAATTCTCGAGCCGATCATAAAAATCGCTTCTTTCTTGAGTCCCATGACTTAACTGGCACTACCTCAAACAAGGCCCTCAAGACCTTGAAATCAACTAACTCGTTTAGGTTTGCACCATTCAAACCCAACCTGACATGGCCACTAAGGCCCAAACAATCACTAAGCCCATCCTCAGCTTGAACAACCATATCTAAAAGATTGACAGATACGGAAACATTTCCATGACTCATGGTTATCAAACCATGCTATCTTCCCTCATCCAGCTCCTTAGAATCCTCGTGACTTCCCTCAATTTGAGTATGGATCCTGTGACTCTAGTAGTATGGTCCCAATACTACCTTTCATACATATCCATAGTTTCCTCAAGAAACATCCTAAGTCATCTAAATCACCTACTCATAATAATACTCCCAATATCCGCTAAACATCAGAGCAACCACACTAAACAACTTCTTAGGCTCTCCTAGGATCCCCACCTCACCCTGCCATCGGCTGCTGAAAAACACCTATTAATTTCAGCTAACCACTCTATGAATACAATTACATACAACAAAACTTAAATAATCTTTTGACTAAAAGACCCAACCCTACAACGGTTGGACTCAAACGACAGTTGCACAATTGGGCCAAATCAATCATTCTAAAATTATTTAACCTTTACAGCATGTAACTTAACATGTTCATTTAATAGTTAACTCACATCATTATGAGTCACACAAAGCACAAAGCAAGCCACATTCAAGCAATGAAACCATATGACACTAAGAAACCATAAAATCATGTAGATCCTTACATGTAAATTCCAGACCATCAGGCCCAAGCATCAAGGATACATATACATCATGTATCCACTCTCTCAAGAGTGGCTAATCATTCCTCACGATGTCCTGCTATAAACTGTACTCACTCATGAAACTTCCACCAACCCTGCAGCCACTCCTGCATACTAATCATATATAATGTTGGATTCTATAGACAATCGAATACTTGATTCTACCTCAAACATTCTAAGGATATACAACCTTAGTTATGTACAACTATGATGCACACACTAAGCAACTACAGTAATGATGTCAATTCCATCTAACATACAAGAAATCATACTAGGCTATCATGCATTATAGATCAGACAATTCTATCATGCAATTCCTGAAGATCCCTAGCCTACTACTAGCACGTTGTTCTATCATAATCATCATAAACAAATAATAATGTAGCTAACTTGGGGTATACTTTCCAGCTCCGGCTTATCGTACACATCTCATCCTTCCTAGGTTACTTTTGAAAACTTTTACAGATCCTTAGTTTAAGTATGGATTTACACGAATGCTCATCTAGTTCACTCAAACCAGGGCTCTGAGACCAACTTGTAACATCCCAAAAATCAAGGTAAAATTTTCATTTTCGAAACCAATCCAAAACCATAAGTGTTTACAAAACATAGTTTCCAAAAGTCATAACACGAATTAGAGAATCCAAAAATCAAATCTCATAAAAAAACCGAGAGAATGTGTATGATCAAGCCTTTGCCTTGCCCCTATTATCTGATATCCTATAAACCATAAAATCAAACTATAAGTCAAAGCTTAGTGAGTTCCCCCAAAGTACCACACACAACTAAATAGATAACAACATGTATGCATGAGCCTTCAGCATGAATAGACCGCCTCGCAGGGCCTACAACCTATCTAGACCGTTCTACGAGACTTCAGCCTGACTGCACTGCCTCACCGGGCCTATAGTCTATTCGAACTACCCCCAGGTATCTAGGCCTTCAGCACAAAGCACAACCGCCTCAACCCAACAATAACAATAACATGTCAACATATACAGTAACATTCAATAGCCGGAAAATACAGATAATCATACATATCTACCTGTCTAACATGTAACCTGCATAACATCTTCCTATATACCTGCATACATAATATAGTGGGCCAACATTGGTGCATTTAACCCACAAGTATAGTGCGGAAAACTCACCTGAATCACAAAGCCAACTAAAAACCAGCTCAACGTCGCACTGACCACATTTAACAACTCTCTCTGCCAAAGATAGGTGTTAAACATCTCCTAACAATCCACACAAGGTAAAACCCTAAGTCTACCTTCCAAAAATAGAAATTTGACCAAAAGTTAATCCATACTAAAAGTCAACGGTTAAATTCAACAGCCAATGTTGACTTTAGCCAACCGCCACGTTGTAGCCTTCCTTGGCCACGTTGTGACCCTCATGCGATCAAACAGACAGGAAATTCCCAGTCTCCACATCGTGGTGAACTATGGCCACACCATGGGAGCTGAGATTCTAACAACTTAATGGATTAAGTTGTATTCTTCGATTTCAAGAGCTCCAAAGCTCAGATCTGGTCCATTTTATGGTCTAAATGGATTAAGTTTCCAACTTTATCCATTAAGACACCCAAAGAGATTAAGATCTCCAACCTTAGGTCGTAAATAAAGATAAATACCATAATATCTTAACCATTTAGCCCTTAAACTGAAAAGTCCTTAACTCAACCACTCTAGAAGGGTCTTCTAATACCGGATCTATCATAAAGGTGGAAGATTTATGGACATGCATACCAATACATGTCTAGAATCCATTTTAGGTCAAAATGGGCTAAAATGACCAAAATTATTGTAACATCAAAAACCCTCAACCAAAACCTAGATCTACAATAAATGTTGCTCATAGGACTCAGGAGAGTCATAAAGTTGCCAACTTTATGAGTTCCTCCCTTCCAAACTTGCTCAAACATGAAGGTCATGGTACAATATTCAAGATCTAAACATTATAAGCCATAAAGCAAGGAACTTGGACAATTACAAAGGTTTAAAGATGCCCAAAATAGATCTTCACTTTAGCCAAAAAGCACCATAATTCTTTCCAATGGCTTTTCTTTCTTCACAGCCACCCAAGGTCACCAAAATGGACTCATAAATCTCAAGGAGGAATTAGGGTTAGTGTTTCTGAAACTTGAGGGTGATGGAGGCTGATAAGGAACCCTAAAAATGACTTAGAAGGGTTTAAATACGAAGTAAATAAAGAATCATGGGCTTGGTCCAACACAACTGCCACACCCTAACAACCTTTGTCCACACTGTGGCGTTCCATTAACACATCCGATCCTTTAAACAATTGTCACGTCGTGGCCCTCCTTGGCCACGTCGTGGGATACGATTTTCTCCAAAACTTAATATTTGGTCCCTGATAAAAGTAAGCTTAAGCAATCTGGAACACGGATGCTACACTTTATATATCCATTTCGCCAATTAGGTGTCAATTAACCGAGCCGCATAATGTTGATCCAAATGATTATCTTAGAACTCTTAGTCCCCACGTATCCAATAAAAGTGTAAACCGTATAATTAATAGCTTTCTCATCTAGTGTGTTACCTATTACACCAATAAAAATACCCCTTGTATGTTTCTTGAGTAAAAAACTATTCATTATATAACTTTCAAGATGCATCATTCTTGTCATCAAGTTGGCAATAACAGACCAAATATAATCATCTTTTGGATCCATAATGCCAATAAACAAGCAAAACAAATAATTTAAAACCATAGCAAAACTAGGAACAAAAAACGAGAACAAAACATGGAACAAACGATAGCAACATCGATGACCAAATACTAATGAGATCGAAAAACATACCCAAAAGAACAAGATCGAAACCAAAAACTACGATGAACATCATTGAAAAGTGAATTACAATATAATTTGATTCATGGTTCGATCGGTGATAGTCATGTCTTCTATAAAGTCTTTAGCATTCATCAAATCGACAACCATGGATTGATTAGTGCTTTGATACCATGTTAAAAATATGTAAAAAAGAATTCTAAAAAGAAGTTTTATATATATATATATATATATATATATATATATATATATATATATATATATATATATATATATATATATATATATATATAGGACAAATTACACAAATGGTCCCTGTGGTTTGGGTAATTTGTGCGCTTGGTCCCTAACTTATTTTTCTAACTCGGACCGTCCCTACTGTTTGTTTTTGTTTCCCGCGCGGTCCCTTTCTAACATTAAAAGACTATTTTTCCCTTACTGATTTTTTTATAATTTATTTATTTTACATAATTACTTATATAATTATTAATATCTAATGATCCCATCCTGTTTATTCCTTTACCAAAATCACCCCTCATGCGCTTCTTCCATGTGATTACTTTTTGCTCGATAATTTCCATTCGACAACTACGTCTTCTTCGGGTAAACCGCCACCAAATACAATCAAATCAAATCAAATACAATTTAATCAAAGATACAACCAAATCTTAAACCTCTGTAATCAAATCTGATGAAGCTCGTGAAACCATCATCAACGAAATCAGAAATTTTGGTTTTCTTCTTGATAAATGTAATAAAAAACCTGAATCAAATCCATTCCCAATATATGAAATTTCCATGAAATCTAACCCGATTTCATGGATGTGCAACTCAGTCCTGATCTCTTGGATCTACAACTCTTATCCCAATCTCCCCTGAGAATCAATTTTAGATGGTAAATCAATGCCAGTGACCATAGAAATTTTCAAGAAAAAAACCTGATGCTAGCAGTGAGGGAGAGTCGACCGAAGTTTGGAAGAAAAGGAGATTGTTACCTTGAATCTCTGATTTTAGATGACAAATCCTTGAATTGGTGATTGTGCAGTTTGATTTTTCAGATTGTTTTTTGGGGTTTTGGTATCGATGTTATTTGAGAGAGAAATGATGGTCTGAATTTGGAACAGAGGTTGAGGGGTGAAGATGTCGAGCATTGGGCGGCAGTGGGAGCGTCGACAAAGATGGACCTGCATGTCGTTGATGATCTAGTGGAAAGGATATAAAAGATCGCTAGGGTCTCTTTTCTGGTCTGTAGTAGCGGCGGCCGGTGTCCCTTTTGTAGGTTGTAGCAACGACGACAGAGGAGTGGTGATAACAGATGGTCGTCGACCATTGGAAAGAACAAGAAAGCATCATCGATCTGGATTTGCAAGGGGAAGAGATACAAAGATACATGAAGTGGAAAATGAGAAGGAGATGAAAAAGGTGAAAGAGGAGGGTTGTGGGTGGGATAACGTTAGGTTTTGTTTATTTAATAATATAAATAAATAAAACATAATAAATTTTATTAAAAAAATTAACGAGGGCATAATAGTCTTTTAGGTTAGATAGGGACCAACCGGGAAACAAAAACAAACAGTAGGGACGGTCCGAGTTAGAAAAATAAGTTAGGGACCAAATGCGCAAATCACCCCAAATCATAGGGACCATTCGTGTAATTTATCCATATATATATAAGAAGTTATATAAATGAGTTTTAATATAAAAAACATGGAAAACGACATTGTAAAAAAGAATTCTAAAAAGATATACAAAAAGAATGAATATAATTCTAAAAGTTTAATGATTAATTATAGCTTAAAAGAGTTCAATGACCATAAATAACCATAAAAATAAGTTTGATAACCTTAAATAGTAAAAATAAAATAAAAAATGAAAATGTGTTGCTAGTCATAGCGCCATTTTTGCAAAAAGTAACAAGTTATTATAAAACTTTAAACAACTTAAGTGATAAGCGTAAAACCAAAAGTTAAATGACAAAATATGTGACATAACCAATAAAAACTATGAAAAATACAGTGTAAATCCTCTAAATGATGAAATAGAAACGTTATTAATCAATGATGAATAGAAACGTTATTAATCAAGATTTTGGTGGAAGGAACAATACTTACATGTATGCAACTGCCTCATCGGGCGTTTGTCATAAAAAAAATGAGAACTTTAATAAAATTAATAATATTTTAAGATATTTGTCATCAATTCAAATGGATATAAAGATAATTAGAAAAAAAAAATGATATTTAATCCTCTTGATACATTGATGAAGTTCACTGAGAAGATTTCCACCTACCCATGGTCGGTGAGCATGAGATGATTCATTGGTGAGCCCATGTTAGTCTTAAAAGGAAGAGAAAGAGATGATGATAGATACCTTCTTGTTATCAATATTCATGCTCAAAACATTTTTGTTTTTGAAAATTCAAACTATTGTAAAGTTATACTTTTTGAACTTTTTTAACCTTTTTAGAAGTTACAATTTGTAAGCTATATCTATTTATAGCAAAGAATAACCGTTTTGAATTGGGATGACATAACTATAATACTATTGTATTGTAGTACAAATAAAATGAAAGTACCGTTATAAAATAATCAACTTAGTAAAAATATGTTGATAGTTGATGTATTTATCTCGAGTTTTTTATTATCTTTTGAAAAAAAAAATAAAAAAAAAATTAAAAAAAAACATAACTCAACGATAGTTACTTATGCTATGCATTATCCAAATAGAAATTGTATCTAATAATTTTAGATGCCATGAGGATCGCGGAGACAAACACAGTCATAACAAGACTAGTAGTGCCTAAATTATTGCGTTTTCCATTTGGGATTCATGGCTTTTGTGCCCCTAACAATTTGACAATGACATTAAGCTATTTTAAATGGAGAAATTAAATTACATCCTACCTTTTATGTTTACAATTATTTCTACCTATTAAAATTATGACAAATCATCATTCAATTTAATTGTATTTGATATATTTCTAATATAATTTTAACTGGTTAGTTAAGAAAATATGAAATGATAATCATTATCATAATTTTATTGAGTATGAATATTTGTAGACATAAAAAAGTAAGAATTAATTTAATTTCTCTTTTAAACGTAAAGTACTAGCACATATTTTCTTTATTTGTGTATTATTCTTTCTTAGTGGAAATTGTAGTTTATTTCCAGGTCACAGGACAACCCTTCATAACAAATCTATGAAACTGTGTTTGTTATTTCTTGTATTTAACCCCTTTTTGAACACATACAAGGTAAAGATTATTAAAAAAAAAAAAAAAAAAAACTACATTTCAACGAGAACTCATAAAACTTTGATCATGTCTCGGTGCTCCTTGTGATGACCACTATTAACAATATGACTACCGAGAGGAGTAGTGAAGATCGAACTTTTTCTTCTAATATATCATCAACTTTTGATGTGGATTTTGACTTCCTTGTCACAATTTGTATTCTTTCAAGGATGAAAACCTCTAATTTATCGATTAATTCTCTAATTTTCAATTTCATGAAAGCAAAAATCCACTTAATCAGAAGAGATGTCGAGTTGAGTTCTTTCTTGCATCCCATGTCCTTTTCTTCATTAGCTGCATTATGAAGAAACAAACTATCAATTGCAAACTCTGAATTTTCAAGCTTTTTCGTAACAATGGGGGTGTCGCTAAATCTTCGAAGCATTCGTGACGCCTAGGTTTTTACATTTTTTACCCATAATAACAACTAACTTTTATGGAAAAATTGAAAAGGGCAGATTTCTTGAAATAATATATGTTCTCATTTTTTAACCAATGTTAGACAATATGTTCTACCTTGTATGGTTGTACTTTTGATAATAATGTTTTTGTTACATTAATGTGTCTAAATTTCTATCTATAATGCCAATGTGTAACTCACACTAGCAACATACTTTTACTTATTATTGATAATAGAAATTCACAAACAAATAAAGAACATTTACATATTTACATATTGGTAACATGTGTCGCTATATGGGTAAAAATTATAAGTGCGTTCCTATTGTGTCTAGAAAATTAAAAACATTCCATATAAATTGTGAGATAAAGCATCTTTGCTATTCCACTTAGTTTTCCAATTAAATTGGTCAACAATTTACCCAATTATTAGTTTTGAACATTACAACATCCTAATTTCAATTATTTCTTTCAAATACTATACTTTTTTGTTATAATTGGATAAAATTTTCAACACATAATGTTGTAATAATAAAATTTAAAAATAAATCAACGAAAATAAAACTTAACCTGTGTATGGCAATGAGCGTTGAAGATCCCGAACTTCCTCATTCTTCAAGATAGCATCCCACACCTCTACATCTGATGATATCGATAACACAAGTTTCTACCAAAAAATTATATAATTTTTTTTATCAAAATTAAAAAATATGCATACAAAGAATTTAGAGTAAATTACACGAATGGCCTATGGTTTAGGGTAATTTATGTGTTTGGTCCATAACTTATTTTTTTAACTCGGAAGGTCCCTATTGTTTGTTTTTGTTACGCGTTTGGTCCCTGTCATACTTAAAAATACTATTTTCCTTTTGATTTTTTTTATTTATTTAAATAAACACACCCTTAGAGAGGTGGGTATGGGCAACGGCGTTATTGGGTGTTATTGCATGTTATAACACGTGAGCACCGCCCCCCTTCCCCGTTATTAGATGTTATGAGACTGCACGTTACTCCCTGTTACCACCATAACACGTTATAACGTGTTTTTTTTTGTCTTTTTCCTAATAACGTGACACCTACGAGTCTTAACCCCACCCTCTCACCTTACCTTACTTACCCCATTATTTTTTTTATTTAAATAATAGTCTTTTTAGTAAAACAAAGACCAAACACGTAACAAAAGCAAATAATAGGGACCTTCCGAGTTAAAAAATTAAATTAAGGATCAAACGTGCAAATTACCCCAAACCATAGGGACAT